TGTCCGGACTTGGAATTCTTATTCACATCTTTAAGGCGTCCGCCAAAGAGTTGGCTTTACTAGTCTTCTTCCTCATACTAGGAATCCTGTCAGTTTCATGTTCTACGTTGAACGCTCGCAGGTACATTTCAACTTCTGGTTTCACGAGAGCTAGAGCTAAATATTTTAAGGGCATAGTTCTAGGTGCGGTTTAAATAAAACGGAAGTAGGACTTTTACAGTAGAATCTGCTGAAAGTTTAGTTTTCTGTAAAAAAGAAAACTTTTAAAATCTAGTTTTAGACTTTGATTTGAACTCTTTTTTCTGTGTAATTGCATATAAATATATATTAGCTTTAAAGATAAAGTTAAATAAATTTAAGAAAATTTCTTCTAGACTATTGTTGTCTCAGATCTTCGAGAATGTGGATTAAATATTATATATTATTCTCGCAAAATTTGTGAGATATCAAAGCTATGTTCTGGCTTTTTATGCTGTAACACTGCAGGAAATTCTCAATAACAAATTTTGACAGTACATCGCGAGGTTTATGATGGGTTTTAGTTACGATAACCACTGTAGGTTACGGCGACATGACACCGAAAACTTTTCCCGGCATGTTTATCGGCAGACTGTGTGTTCTCACTAGTGTCTTGACCATCTCTCTTCTGGTTCCGGTATTGTCAGCAACTTTTCCACGTTTTATTCGCACACGTATTATATTCTTTGTAAACATCTATTAATTTATATATAGCTATCCAATTACGATAAAATCGAAATTAATTTTATATAAAAATTGAAGATAAGTAAAATATGAAAAAATAAAATTTTTAAGCGCACAGCAAGCTATCGAAACAAAAAGAAAGACTAACTTCTATCGTTTTTTTTCAAGACGAAAAAGGTCGTCATATCAAAATTATGTTGACACTACAGTGGATCATCAACTTCGAGTTGAATTTCTAAATAAATTAATAATAAACTTAACATCTCGATCAATCACCACTTGATTAAAAGATGTATTATAATTACAGGTATTAATCTGAGAGAATTAAATATTTGTTACACATAAATCATTTCTAAAATAACTTGCAAATATCTTTTCAATGTTATTCTATTGTTTCTTATGACCAAGATATTTCAGTTAAATTAAACAGAGAGAAGTCTCACTCAAAATGGAAATATATCCAATCAATTTGATAGTGAAATGCATTTTTGGGGATTTGAGAAAAATGCCACTTGTACCTGCATAGCTATTTATAATACTTTTGTGATAATCTAAAAAACAATTATAATATTTAATAAAAAAATAAGAAAATAGAAGCGTTTTATTATCCAATTACGATTCATAGAAGATCAAACTATAAAATTAATTCAATTAACACTCTTTTATTATGTAACATGAATAAAATTACTAAATTATAATCAATAGAATTATATTTAATCTATCGAAAAAAGATTAAGAACAACGAACTGTCTTAAATATTTTGTCTTAAACGATTCTGTGCTGATCGACTTAACTACCATTAAATTAATCAGAGTCTGGTCGACCCTCAATAAAGAAAGTCACCCTCAATAAAGAAAATATCAGAAAATAAGTTTATAAACTTCGACACTGAGTTTGAGAAAGTTCAAAGCGGACAAAAGAGGACGATGTCTCGAGATTGTATCGAATATGATCGGTATGATCTTCAGGTTATCGAATCTTCACGTTAATCTTCTTCACTCGCAGCTAATGGGTGAGTATCAAAGTTGTTTTCACTGCGTAAATTTGGTACACAACTCGGGAGTAAGGCTGCCACTGAAGAGGCAACAGCGCGCAAGCGTAAGCCATCGACCGGTGGAGAAATTCGCTTGAGAGTAGCGACGACCCCACTCGAGAGCAACCCACTCAGTACGACCTCGAGCTATACCTTGTAACCCACACGTGAGACATGACACGTAAACGCGGCACCTTGTGTACATATGCACAAGTATTGTATTCCTACTTTGTAACGAGTACTTACACATCTTCCTACTTTTCCGACAATTTGTCAATATAAGTCATCGTGGCAGGCAAACCTGATTTTTCGAAAAGACTGTTTATCATTGGTCAATTTATCAATGATCCATTTACTATTATTTTTTAAATTAATTCACATAAATTTCAAAGTTGTGTAAAGACAGAAAAAAAGAATATATTTTGTATACAAGTTTTATGTTTTTACATTTGAGAATATATTAATTAGAGGAAAATGGGAATCTATACAATTTTCATATTAATTTAAAGATCTTTATGACGTAATTTCCATGTTCTGTCGACTTTGTTTACAATGTTGATTTTTCAAGGAAATGATAGTACTTAGGTTTGGAATCTTATTGATTCGCTGAATATTTACCCCAAGAATTTATTTGATATAAATATAAATGTGATAACTATTTAATATATAAAATGTGAAAAGCAATAAAATACACAAAATATGTAATTTAAACATTTTCTGCATATATTTTTTTCAAAAGTTTACATACGTCATTGCTGTATGTAGAATTGATTATTTCCTCGAGTATTTTTAATGAAATTGTAACTTGAAACTTTAAAAAGTAATATAATACGTTGCAACCGCGGGATATATCAATTACTTTTCACGTTTTTATTTAAAAAAAAAAAACAGTTTTGTGTGGCTCTCTTTCGAGAATCTAAATCAAATATAAGTAAATTGCATAAATGAGCTTCCGCGATTAGTGCGTAAATAATACTCGTATATTTATAAGGCGATAAGATATAATTCGCAAAAAATTAGAATGTATTAAATTAATTGCTTTTGTAATTGATTTTGTTGATAAGTACATACCAATTGCTTACGAATTATATTTTATCGCCATATAAATATATAATTTACAAACACCTGTGGAGACTCATATAGACAATTTACTTATATTTATTTCATTTTAATATTTTATTTATAAGTAAAGATAATAAAACAATAAAGATATCTGATTTTAATTTTCTCAGTATTGCTTGATACAACGATGGGAATAAATAACGAGAATTGGCAAGTACTTTCCGTTATTCTAGAACACCTTGTACAGAAGGATAAGAAAAACGAGCGGCTTGTTCTTAAGTTAATGAAACGTGTGAGTAATATGTGAACATTTTTATTATAAATTGAAGAGAATCAATCAATATGTTCTTACTATCGATACCTGTAGTCTTCCTTTTACACATTTTTATCGTACGATGTGTAATAGAAATGAAAAAAAAGGAAGAAAGAGAACAAATGAGAAAAGAAAAGAAGAATAGGAAGCGACGAGACAGACGTTTTATGAGCTATAAAAAGCATAGAACGACAGGGGTAATTCCGATCTTTCCCACGGGTTTTGATCGTCTCACAGCAAAAAATCGCAATTTTGTCGAAAGTTAATTTGAAAGGGCAGTAGAAGAAGATAATCGCATGGCCTAAAAAGAGAATATCTATGTAATCGACTTAAGTCTCATCGAATTTGGAATTAAGTAAAGCGAGAACTTTGAATCGCACGATTTTAATCGAACATAAGACCTTGGGAAAACAGACGGTTAATTTCAAATAGACATATTAAATCGTCATATTAAATCATATAAGAGGATTGATATAAAAGGATAATCATGAATTTCACAGGCAAACTTTAATAGTATCTGCAATCCAATAATATCGATTTTTTTTTAAATTTTACATATGGGAGACTTATACATCTATACCGCACACACTGCTTAATGAATATTTAATGGAATATCTATTGGATACCCAATCTTTTATTCACATTTGCGGATATTAATTAAATATTGACATTTATTACTACTAAAAAAATATTTTGTATAAAGATAAGACAATTTTTCGTGCAAGAATGCATGGACATTATGTTTAAAAATTCTTTATTTTGTACAAAGTTTTGTTTTCGCGAAGAAATATTATTATTCTTCATTAAAGAAATTTTTAATAAGTGAAATATTATAAATCGTATCGTGCTTTTATTTCTTAATTCTGTAGTTTTAATCAGTCATTTCATTAACTAATTAATTTATCGAACACATGTTCCAAATTATGTTACTATTAAAAATGGATTTATATTACCAAATAATGAGAAGAAAGGTTGCAACATTCAAAGAAACAATAGCATTATAGTTAAAAAGTCATCAATCGTAACAAGTCTAAAATCAAAAAGAATCACGAATTTTTCATAAAATACTATACATTTATACAAAACTTTTTTACATTATTTTAACATCCCAACACTCTGAATAACTCACATTCCGTGTATTGCGCAATGCACTGCTGTAAGGTGCAAACCGTAAATAGCATTTGAATTTTTTTTTTTTTTTTTTTTTTTAGATTATCACAATCGGAGAACGCATTCGTCGAATGCGAAATCCGAGAGGACGGCCGGCTTGACAACTCCGAAGGTAACTTTAAGTCATCGCCTCGGTCACCAACTCGGTCGAACTCGAGGGCCACTTTGACGTGGTCTCGTCTCGACATAACGCGTACGAAACGGATGCGCGCGCTCAACCTCCGCACGCCGTCGCCGTCGCGACGCCAACCCCCACCTCGGCGACGACGCCGCCGCTGCCGTCTTTCGTCGACAGAGACGACGTCGCTTTTCGTTCGCGATTTCAGTTCTGTACGCGCGACGAGCCGCAGCCGAGCCACCTTCGGCGTGGTCCTCGTCATATCCGCTTGTCGGTCGGTCACGGGGACGACGCGAACCGGCGACGATGACGGGCCGTCTATGACGGCATCGGGTGACACCACGATGATGAAGGCCCGACCATTCCGCCGATGATCTATTCGCGAACACGGCGACGGGGAAAACGCCCTCTGCCTTCACGGCGCGTTCCCTGCCTGACCTGACCTTTCGCTGGAGATAGAGAGAGAGAGAGAGAGAGAGAGAGAGAGAGAGAGAG